AGCAGGTGGGAAAAAAATAATGTCTTGCAAGTGGGTATGGGAGATGACAGTGACTCCAGAGATCTGGCAATCTCACTATATCAGAATACTGTTTCCATCCATCTTAGAAAGAGTTAAAACAGACCTTACGATTTTGTAAGTGCTTATGTTGATATCCAAACACTGGTATTGCCACTGCAATAGGCGGCTTCATTCTATGGTCAGGATCTTGGGTTTGTTACATAGTGATTGGCTTCCTTGCTAGTCTTCACAGTATAACCTCTTACCAGGGTTAACTTGTCTATCTTCAACATTTAGTGAAGTGTCTACTTACCACACAGTCTGGTACTACAAAATACAAACACATCACACATTTTCAAAATGCACAGGGATACCTATTACGTGTAAATTTGTGTGCATGTGTGAATCAGTGTAAAACAAAAACTCAAAACAAAGACACCTCTGAAACAACAATTACCACAAATATTAGTTTGAAGCCTTCTTTCAGATAAAGGTGTAATGCAAAAGATTAGTTCTTTCTGTACAGGTCTAATGTTCACAAAAGATAATATTTGTTGGGTTTATTTCTAGCTGGAAACAAGAGACTTTCCCATGACAGTTTGTGAACAGAACCATTAGAAGAGTCTGTCTACCTTGCTAGGCTCAAGCAGGTTTTCTCACATCGCTGTCTACATTTCTGAGAGTCTATTCATTTTGAAACAATCATTTTCCAATTTGACCCTGATGGTTTTCTTCTCTCTCTCCCCCATCCACAACTATAAAAGAATCTATTACACTTAATATGATCTGTTATAACACAAATCTGAAGGTTTCTTGAATAAAATTACACGGTTAGGTCACACATCTTATTTTCCATTATTTTATGAGTCTGAGTGGAACAAGTTTGAAACTGAGGCATGTACGATACGAAAGTCTTCTTGCCAGAAGTTCCTAAGTTGAAATTATTTTCTACAAAGTGGGAGCAACTATCTGGGAGGATTCCAATGTCAGTGAATAAACAATGGGCCGGAAATGGGCACAACACTCCTGACTCGTCCGTCAGAAACACACTACTCTCTCTTTTTTTGATTGAGGTGACTCCTAAGTAATAGACAGACTTTTCACCATTATTTTCTTCAGGAAAATTTCCCTCCAGTTTCAGAAGTTCATCCAGTCCTTCTGAGAATGTAAGGTGTGGTGGAACTATGTTGGAATGCTGACCTGATAATATAAAAAATGCTTGGGTCTCTACCTCCCATGAGCTATTAGAAAAAGAATCCTTCAGTGGAGAATTACTGCTAGAGAAGCACTTGCTGACTGAACTACTTATGAGCCTCGACTCTTCATCGCTGTCGCTTGACTTAGAGTTGCTGACCAGTGTGGCATATTTAACTGAAGGTTGTGTCCGGCTTTCATCCTCACAGGTTGCCTTGGTGTTCTCAGACTCAGAGAAGTGAGCACTGTTGCACTGGCTCCTACCACACATAGAACCCTTTTCAAGATCTGGAGTGGTAGAAAGTAGAGAGACCACAGTCGTTGGCACCGTCTTATCTTTATTTGTCCTTGATGTATCAACCCTGATATCTTCTGAAATAGTTTCAGGCTCCAAATGAAGAGGACCAAATGTCACTGATTCTGTATGCTTGATAAAAAGATGCTCAAATGTTTCTGGCTAAAAGAAAAGACACATTTTAAGGCTCAATTATATGAAAATGTTTGCTTCATTATGTTTGCAGGAATGGCAGTGGGTAAGGTTAATAATAAGGGACAACAGTAAGTCACGAATTAACTTATTTTGGACTAAAACAGATATATGCAAAATCTTAGGGGCTAGGTAGTTTAAGAAATTGTTTAAAAGTGGGACAAGATAGACTTGGGCTTGAGTTGTTCTATGACTATAAACAAGTACATTAACCTTTTTGCACCTCAGTTTCTCCATCTGTAAAATGTGTTCCATACTTGCTTAGTGGTGTTACTTCTAGAAATAAATGAGAAACTGTCTACAAGCACCAAGCTCTCAATAAAGATTGGTTACTATAATTGGAAAATGTTACCTTGTAAGGAATGCTTAGTTTTTTATAGCAAATTTCATTTCCAAAACTGAAACTTTTAACTCTGATTGGAAAAGTAGATTGAAATAAAATCAAATGAGTAAAACAACTTGTCCAAGATACATAAAATAAGTATTTTGTGATGCAAGATGTGATATGAAGGTAAAATAGTTGTGATTAGTAAGAACTTATCTGCCTTAGGTCATACTGAGAATCTGCTTGGAACTATCTAAAAATAAAACTCATAATACCTATGTGTTGAAAATAATGACAATGATGAAAGGTGATCACAGACTTTTAAATTACTATTCCTTTTGAATAACTTTATATAAAAATATATACTATGAAAAAATATATACTATAAGACAAGTGGAATGAAAACAAATACACAAGACAAATGTACATTATATTTTTTATAGGAATGATAGATACATCACAACAAAACTTCTGCCAAGCAGCTACAAATCAAGAGTCTATATGCAAAAAGCTCAGTTTGTACAATGTAAACACATGGAAACATAGAGGCAAAATAAAGAATACCGTGGATACATCACATTGAAAAATTAACACAAAAAATTAAGTGCTATAGAAGGTATGTTCAGTTTGTATGTTACACATGGGATTTAACTTCTATGCTTTATAATTTTTAAACTAATAACACATCAGATTTATTGTTTGAAATAATGATATACCCAGCAGTTCTGTATAATGGCAAGTATATTCCACATAAAATTAATACTTGTCATACCTTTGAATTCTTAACTGAAATACATTAGCGATTAAAACCATAAAAGAATAATCATACCAAACACAAAATATAATAATTGAATAGATTTATATAGGTATTAAGATACTGGATAATGATAAACACTGTGTTAATATAACGTTTCAGTTATTCTATAAACATAATATAGAAAGAAAATTGTTCCTAAGCTTATTTTTTTCTGATAGTAATCTATAGATTAATGATTTCCTTCAACTATTTTCTTGCTCATTTTGTTTTTTCCTTAAGGTTCCCATTACAAATGCATGGAATTGTCTTAAAATGTAAACAAACCTAGAAATTAAGATTGCCAAATAAAAAAGTTAGATGCTATCAATTTAAAAAAAAAAAAAAACAACCTGTAGGATGCAGAGAAGCTCATATATGATGTGTTTGATGTATTTCATGCTCTCAGAAACCTCATCATTGAGAACTAAGTGTTTAAACCACATATGCCACAAATCTTCAAATGTATTAAAATAGAAGAGTTCATTATAATAATAAATCACATACCCATAGCTTATTGAAATACAGTTTATCAAGAGGTCACAAAACTTTGTAATGTATATTCATATAAAATTATTTCACTATATGCGTCTAATTTTTCCTTGAGATTTTAGAGTAACTTGGACATGTATTAAATATGTCTTTAGTTGATAGGAATTTAAAATATCCTTTTATAATTTCACACTAGATTTTATGTTCCAGCGACATCTGTTAATAGTCAGTGAAGGCGAGAAAACATGTTTTTCCTATTTTTGCTGGGATTTTTTTTTACATTCAAGTAAAACTAGGAATAAAATCTAAGTGATCCATACATAATCTTTAATTTGAATATTATTTGGGTTCATCAAACAGAGGCTTTGGGCTTTGGTTTAGTTTGACTGTGAGCAACTCCACACAGTTGTATGCTAAATTCATAGAACTAGCCAATGGTCTTTTTTCAGGTAAAAAAGTTCTGTCCTCACCACAAACGATTTGTAAAAGCTCCAAAGAGTCTCCCTTTCCTGTATCATGGCCCACTGCCCTGGCTGCCAGAAGTCTTAGATGATTCAGTGAAAACAAATTAGATTTAAGCAAGACTGCAGGCTGGTGTTCTCTGACCTGGTCAATCTGACCTGGGCACGTAGGGTCATGCTGTTGTGAACGACAACTTCCACTGGCCTGGGACCAGCACAAACCACAACTTCTGATTTTCTTTGAGCTGGAATGGGAGTTAGCACTTGAACCATTTTCAAATTTACTGAATACTGAAATTTCTACATTGGCCAAGGTAGATACAAAAAAGCTACAATGCATTCAACAGAACACCAAGTAGGTTAATTTATAGGTAGAAGTATCTATAAAGGAATCTAAGATAGAAAAATGTGGACATAAAAATAGAAATATTTTCACTGCACTCTGCTCTTAATTACTGTATTTGTAGAACTTTGAGCCAGAAGTTGCAGTTACAGCATTGCCAACTCTATATTGATGACATATAGAATAAATAAGTAACAGTAGCAACACTTACAATTTTTAAAAATGTTTTATGCCCTCAAAATTTATCAGTCAAAAGCCAGAAAACATGAATATTACTTTTAAACTTTAGATGTCCTGAAAACAAACCATATATCCAAACTGAGCTGGACTCAAATCTGTATCTTGACCCCAAATTTACACATCTATTTTTAAATTCTAAATCAACAAAATCCACTACAGGTTAGTTCTCAAGAGTTTAACCAAAATTGTTTTGGATTTGCTCCCCTTCTTCAAAATGTAAAAATCTTCTAATACTCTATGGCCTTTTGGGAAGTTGGCACTTTGGGTTCATCTGTAGTGATCATGATTATACTTCAAAGAATGTCCGTTCTCTGTTTAAATAAAATAAAATAGGAAAGCAAAATAAAAAAACCACTCAGAAGGCAAAAGATAAAAGAATTCAAAAACTTTTTTGTCAGTCATGGGTTCTAGACTATAAATTGCTGTGTTATGTTATAGTAAAACAACCATTTAGGAAAGGGTAAAATTTTGAACTTCGGTGGTTTCTTCCATTTTCTTCATGGATGCTTTAATATCATGCTCTAAGAGTAATTTTAATTATCACAGAAACAGAAAAACCATAGAGAACTAAAAACGATAGAGAGAATCTATAAAGGAATTTTAAAAATAGATAAAAGATGACTAAGAGCTGCAAAAATGAAAGGGAGATGAAGAACAACAGTGCTATTGAAGAGTTTGGAACAGGAACAAGTAAGAGTTAAAGAGTGAAATCTAAAGACAAAGAAGAGCTGAAATAGGGAAGAATAAAATCACAGAATCCTTATCATGGGCTTTTTTTTTTTAATGTAGAAAAAAAGTTCAGTTGGTGTATGTTCCCTTTTTCAGATATAGCTAATAAAGTGAGTACCCTGACTTAGTTCTTATTTCTAGTCCAACAATATTTCTATAACACGATGGAAGATGAAAGAGGTTCTAAACACAAACAGGTAGAACATGTTCTTTGTTTTCCTTTTACTATTTGCTCTGATAAAGTCAAACTAATCAATTCATACTCTCCCTGATTCCTTATAATCGGAGAGTTATCTAGAGCAAGAAAATAAAACTGAAGTCATATTTTAGCAGGCTGATATATACACTTCTAGGTCCAGTAATACGCGCTTCAGTGCATAGGGGAGATGTCTACTTCTAAGTAAAATTTCTAACTCAAAAATGCACCAGCTCTTTGAGCCAGGAGCAAGGCCATTCTAGAAAGAAGTATAATAGCATTATTTGGTTTAACAACAAATAATACTTACAAATTGTAACAAGGTAAATTAAATTTATGGCTTTCCTATATTTTTGTAATGGAACCAAAGACAAATTATAGCACAGAACTTGTTATCAACTCTGATTTAGGTCAAAGTGTAAAGTAATAGTTTACTCAGATTAGAAAGAGGAGGAAGAAATAGAGAAAAAGGTAAGAGTGTGAAAGTCCTTATTTTACAAAAAAAAAAAAAATTAAGCTGGGGAGCTCCCAGAAATAGTCAGTATTCAAAAGAACAAAAATGGACACTTAAGTAGATTTCTCTGAGGTTTCAGAGGTGATAAAAAAAAAATTAAGCTGGGGAGCTTAATAGAAATAGTCAGTATTCAAAAGAACAAAAATGGACACTTAAGTAGATTTTTCTGAGGTTTCAGAGGTGATTACTCAAGAAGTTGAAAAAAGAGAAACAAGAGAATATCATGCTGGGATTTTGAGGAAGGGAGATGAGAAGTATGAGTAAATCTTCCTGATGGCCAGAAATCAATACCCAATGTCTACATTCCAGAGATGCCTTAGGCATATTATTTCTAGAAATATAAAGGTGACCTGCTCAAAAAATTAAAAGCCAGACAATTAAGCGTAGTGGCATTTGGAAAGCAAGACTAAGGGTCGGGAGGGGAGGAGTAGGAGATTATACTGCTCAATAATCTTCTTCCATACTATTAATAGTCACTTCACCACATGTATGCATTTCTTTCAAAAAAAATGTGTAAAATAATGGGAAATACCAAGACATATACATTAGAAGACAAAGAAACATGTAACCATGCTTCCTGAAGCATCATTTGCAAAAACTAGAATGGAAATGCTTGTACATCCTAAATATCCAGGAAAAGAATGGATAAATAAAATGTACTAATTCATAAAATAGAATACTATGGTCCAGTCCAAATGGATGAACTATGTTAGTTATATCAACATAAACAAATCTCAAAAAACAATTCTGAGAGAAAAAATAGTTTGGGGATAATATGGAAGGTATATGTAGAATCCTCAGAATGTTCAAGAAAAAAATGAATATTATGAAAAAGTATACACAGGTTTCAAATTTGTTTGCACAAAATAAACTTTTA